TAGGGGGCACAGACATTCCTTTGGATTGGTTCATGGTTTCAGGCGGAAATGACCCCCAGGCACTCCCTATTCCCCAACTTTTTGGTTGGAGAGTTTCCAAACAAAGGATTTCACAGGATTTATAAGGAGGAGAAAGGTGGGGTGACATGGATATTCCAGGCATAGAGAATAACACGCTTTACTCTCTCTAAATAATGCACCACTCCAGTGGGTCTCAGGTTGGCTTCTGAACTAACAGCAGCAACAATGCAATGATCATCATTGAATATTTTTTTTCTTTTAAAGATTTTAAGTAATCTCTACACCCAACGCGGGGCTTGGACTTACAAACCCGAGATCAAGTCTCATGCTCTACCAACTGAGCCAGCCAGGCACCCCTTCACTGTAAAAATTTTAATCTTCTGTTTCAGAGGTAATATCATCCCTACCTTGTCTTCTATTTCCTTTGCTCCCAACTACTCCTTTGCTCTCTATTGACTTGCCACCAACTCTGAAAGAAAATCAATTTCTTTAAAGATTGCCAGTGATTTATTTACCAGGTGTAGTGACTTTTCCAGCTTTATTTACTTCTGCTTCATTGGTAAGTGTGCTATTTTTAAAATTCTTTTCTCCTTAAGTGTCTAGAACCTGTATTCTTGACTCCTGGTTCTTTTCTGTTTATTTTTCCAGGATATTTCTTTTTGTGTGCACATGATAAAAAATTCAACACTTTCACTCTCTAGAGACACACTAAACATTTCTCTTTTCAATTCCAGAGGTATAAGCTAAGTAATATGCTTATAATCCTGTTTTAAAATTTATCATCTTGTTGATGTCTATCAACTCCCTATTTCAACAGATGAAATATTCCAGTGGATGAAAATTTAGCTTGCCAAACTCTTCCACTTTATATTATTTTAAAGTTCTACTTGTTTTCTGTGTTTCTTTAAATATACGTTTTTAAACCTCTGTAGTTCTAACAATTTCCAACAATCTTTTATTTCAACTTTAAAGATTTACTTCTCATATTTTCCTCTCCACTAATACATCCCAAATAACCATGATACTAATATTTCATGCATTATGATGTTTGGTTGTATTGATTTTATTATTATGACTTACAATGTTTATATAAATGTTATTTATACTGAGTCAACTACTGTACTAGGATTACATTTCCTTTTCTTGGTACAAATTTATTTTCTCCAAGGTAACAATGATCTCATTTTGTTTAATTTTTATATACTTATCACCAATTGAGCCCCAAATTTTCCCAGTCATCTCAAACTTCTAATTTAAACAGATGAGAGAATTCATCTGTTCCTTTTCTTTCCTTTTGATGCAGAGGCATCTCTCTTAGGTGTCTTCTCACCCTGCTCCAATTTGGGCAAGTTATTCTCTATGCTCGCTATACAGCTGTCCTGGGACTTCCACGTTTCTCAGCATTGAATCCAATGGCTTCCCTCTTTCTTACTTGCTCTTTTGCTGGAGTACATCCTAGAGTAATTTTCTCAGAAACAGACTGCTGAAAAAGAGGTGCCATTTGAATCTCTTGTTCTTCTGTAAGTAGCTTATACTTTTCTTTGAAAGGTTTAGAACGTATATAGGTATTATATTTATTTATCCTGCTTACTGATTCATGGACCTTAGGCTAAGGTTTATTTTTCTTTCTTATTTTTCTGTTTCTCTTTTTGCAACTCCTATTTGTTGGATATTGGATCCCTTGAATTAATCCCATGTCTTTTTCGCTTCCATTTTCAATTGAAGGTTCAAAAAGAAGTCACTGTTTTCTCTATATTATCTTAATAATTATGACATCTCTCTCTCTCTCCCCCCAGACCAGCAGGTGGACCCTCTTATATCAATTTTGTGTGTGTGTGTGTTCTGGAGAATGTCCCCAAAGGGCCTCCCAAACTACTTTGTAGACAGACCCTTAATGAATCTCCCTGACTTCAGACTCTTTCCCCTGCCTTTCCTACTTGTTGTTGACTTCAAGCCTTTGTCCTGTCTTTGTCACCACTGTTTTCATTCATTTATTCAGCCAGTACCTACGATATATAATGTGCCAGGCGGTGGGGACGTTGACATTGAAAAGCCTCATATGGCTTTATTTACCCTGTTCCCAGCAGTGAAGTCTCCCTGAGTATTGGCGGTACATTTCCTTTGCCTACTGGACATCTCCAACTGTAATGTTCTCTCCCAATGTCCTCTTCCCATATCCCCTAGTTTAGTTAGTGCTACCTCAATCCACCCATTCTGCTACACTCTTGAATGTTTGCACGATTTCTTAATGGACCCAAAACAAGCCTCACAAGTTCGTTTAGTGATAAAAATCTCTGATACCCTCTTTTTATCTTCTGTGTTCTCAAAGAAAGATGTACCAAAAAAAAAAAAAATTCTAGCGGGGAGTCTGGGTTACCTGATTTTGTCCAAAAAAGGTTTGTTTCATGGTCATTCTATAGACAAAGGAGCTTAACCAGACAAACTATCAGACTAGAAAAGCAAATATAATTGGGAACATTTAAAATGACCCTGTGTAACCACATCAATCTCCACTGATCAATCTATGATTGAGAATAAGAAACCATCAGACTTTAAGGGCAGAAATATCTACCTTTTATTAACACCCAGAGACAGAAGTTTATACTGTGGGGAGAAGCTTCTGTAACGATGGTCATCTCTTCCACTCTTTCCTTTTCATCATCCTGCTGTCTGCTGACCCAGAACTTAATCTTCTCTGTACAACCAGCAGTTACTGACTGCTTTGCATGATACACTGACAGTAAGTCTTTTCCACATCATCAGACACAATTACCTGACCTTCCCTACTGCTCTGCCAATGCGCTGGCTCACCTGATGATAAAAATAATTACCTAGTGCCAAGTCAGCTGTAATAACTATATTGCTGGTACGATATGCACATTGTTTTAATTAAGGCAAATACACTATGTAACTGAAAGGCATTTGATGCAGGACACAAGAGTTTTCTGGGTTTTGTATCTAAAGCCTTTGGCAGCACATATGCTCCATACCCATAACTGTGTAGATTATAACTGTAAAAATCCCAAAGGATTCCATTACGCTTTTAATAGCACAGGTTAGAAAATAACACTACCAACTAATGTGATTAATGCAAGAGAGCATTTTAAAACCAAATGTCATTTTCTTAAAATACAGAAAGAGGAAAAATAAGGAACTCGTTCAAAGGTATGTGAATAGTGGCAATTTGAGTGAAATGCTAATTCTGCATGGGAGAGCTTGAGTTCATTGTCATTTAGGGTGTTTTTATGGTTAATGTTACAGTTTTACATTGTAGCTTCTCATTTCTTTGTGAAGAAGGTAGAACTGAACAAATTACATTGGTGTATGAAAATACTGGTAATACCTGATTTTGCTAAGGGAGACATTTTTTTGTCTTGACATAGTTATTAGTTCAAATAACTTCCTTTTAAAAAACCTGTGTAACGAATGGTCCCCAGAGACTGAGGAGTTGCACTTTTAGGCCTCTAGGGGTCAGCATAACTCGAAGGAAGAGCAAGCGCGGCGAGGAAGAAAAAGCAAGAACGCACAGGTGGGCGGGCGATTGAGGTGGGGTGGAGGGAGGAATGTGAGGTGGCAGCGTAAGGTCCACTGAAAGCGAGGACCAGGAGTACAGCAGCAGCTGACTCTACAGTCAGTCCACACAGTGTTCCGGTCTGTGTTCTGCAGAAACCTGGGGACCCAAATCACTGAATAATATGTTGCCTATCGCATCAACTCCCTTGAAACTACCGACAGTATTTGTACGATCTCCTTCATACACGCTGAAAGTAATTTACTTTTTTTTTTTTTAAAAAGGATTTATTTATTTTAGAGAGGGGAGGGGCAGTGGGAGAGGGAGAGAGAATCCCAAGCAGATTCCCCACTGAGTGCGGAGTCCAACGTGGGGTTCTTCTACCCCATGACCCCGAGATCGTGACCTGAGCTGAAATCAGGAGTTGGAGCTTAACTGACTGAGCCACACAGGTGCCCCATCGTTTACTTTCTGTAATGTCTGTTTTGGCCCTTTGGATTTAGACCACTGAGATGTGAGAGTTAAGCACCACAAAGTGATTCTCCCCAGTGTAATGGCTTTTCAGTTTGAAAGATTTTATTTTTAAGTAATCTCCACACCCAACGTGGGGCCCGAACTTGCAACCCTGAGATTAAGAGCTTCATGTTCTACTGACTGAGCCAGCCAGGCACCCCTGAAATTATTATTTGAAGGCTAGAATGATCTGAGGGGTTGGCTATCCCTCTCTAAGGTACTAAATGGTGGGTTTTATTCTTTTCACCTGTAAACCATTCAGTACTACCTGCAGAAGTGTGGTGATTATAATCATACATTTTGGAAGAAACTCATTAGCAAAACTCGCAGTATCATGCTCTCACTGCACCGTATCAATCTCAGAGACGTGTGGAGTGCTGAAATTTAAGGAGGGGTAATGAACAGCACACCTCCTTTCTACTTCCTGCTAGATTTCCCTGTGTATCTGGACAACACTCTTGTGGACCACAGCTCATAAATAACTGCCTCAGTTGATGACAACCACACAGTGAGAATTTAACAGTGTTGGCAATCATTTATGCTACGGGGGAAAAAGAGCATTATATTTTTTTCCTTCCTTTAAAGGGAGTGGAAGAAACAGCGTCTGGGCAGTTCGGTAACAGGTTTTGGGCATAAGAAAAGAAATCATTTCCTATTCCTCACAAACTTTGATTTACAAAAGAATGCTGGAAGCTAAAAGCCTTGTTGATTTATCATGTGAAGCAAAGAGTAATTTTTCTCCCCTTGTTAGGCTTTCATATAATCATGCTCACTGCCTATATGGGTGGCATTAAAGAATTTCTGAATAAAAATAATAATTTCTTGCTTTCAACCTTCATAATTCACATCAGCAAGCACCCTGCTGGGCGTTGATGCCTGCTACCAGTGATGCTCAATCTTTTTTGCACGCCACTTATCTGCCTCGCGCAGCTGCGTGTCCCATTGATCTCAATACCTGCAGGATAATGCGCCCGTAGGCGTTCTTTAGCAGATTAACCACATCCGCGTGAGACAGCCCATCCAAAGGTTGCCCATTAATGCTGACAATCCGATCTCCAACCTGGAAGTACAAAAGTGGTAGAAAATCACTATCATTAAGAAAAATTCAATTTGAGGAGAATGCTTAAAATTCTTTTTAAGTCGTATTTCCCATTTGTGGCTATTGTGAAGATTCTGTGTTTCTCCTGTGTATGCAAGTTCCAGAAGCATGAGGAATTTTTATGGCTTTCCCCAAATACAGACCAATCAGAGAAACAAGAAGGGGGTCAGGTTTGATTAGGGGAAGGCACGGCAGGCCACTTTTGTATTTTGGCAATGGTGGTTCCCCAATAATGGTGGGGCATACAAATTAACTGTTCAATAAAGCTCTAATGAGGAAGCCAAATATTTTCTCCTTTATTTTTCTACCTAAGTTAAGATTAAGGGGCAGTGGGGAAAAAAAAAATTGTAAGAACGTTAATTCTTCTGGTTGAAGGACAATTCTAAGGTCAAATCTCCCTCAGGTGAAAATTAATTTTGGGTGAAATGAAGTGCTAAAAATGGTATGGGAAGCTTTGCAAATAAGCTGCAATTTCTTCTTCCATTGGGAAGCTTTGATACAAACAATAATATTTTTTTTTTTTTTAAAGATTTTATTTATTTATTTGAGACAGAGAGAATGAGAAAGAGAGAGCACATGAGAGGGGGGAGGGTCAGAGGCAGAAGCAGGCTCCCTGCCGAGCAGGGAGCCCGATGCGGGACTTGATCCAGGGACTCCAGGATCATGACCTGAGCCGAAGGCAGTCGCTTAACCAACTGAGCCACCCAGGCGCCCCACAAACAATAATATTTTTATATGCCCAGGGACCTAATGAATTTTAGGTGTAAACTTTCTCCAATGCATTTTGCCCTCAGCGTGGATCTCTGTTGGAATTCCAACTTTAAATAAAGCACCCATGGCGGCAACTTTGTCTCCCACCACATGCTGTTAGCATTTCACCATTTTCCTTTTGTTTACCTTAAGCTTCTGTGTACGGGCAGCCACACCACTGGCCTGAATCATGGCAATAAATATTGGGATATCTCCTAAGGGACTTCCTTTTCCTCCGGCGATACTGATTCCAAGGGCATCGCTGAGCTCCTAAAAAATAAGGAAAACACAGTGCTCATATATTTAATAAAAAATCACAACCTGATTGCTTCCAGATAGCTGTTGAACAAAATCCTTCCATGATGCAGGAGGCCAGGGTAACACAGGAGTTAAGTGCAGCGCCTCTGGAGTCGGAAAGAGACCTGTGTTTTCAGCTCTAGCACTTAATTAGCTGGGGGTGGGGAGGGTCTTAAGGCAGTTCCTTAACCTCTTAAGAGTTTCTATCTTTATGTTGATTTGAGGATTAAATGAGATGATATAGTGCATTCTTAGCCTACAGAAGAGGCTCAATAAAAGGCAACAGTAGGAGTAAAAACACACACAAAAATACAAAACAACCCTATGTTACTGCTCAGTTTAGTGGCCAATTTTGATGCAGACTTGGCAAGTATGTTCTCATATGGTGTTTATGATTAAACTGCCACACATATCATGCTCTTCTGGGTGTGAACAAACACACTTGGCTCTAAAAGAGCTGCACGGCTGCATTACAACAAAGGATCTGAGAGGACACCCACTGGAATGATAACGGAGTTTGCAGGGAGAAGGAAGATGTGGCTGAAAGAGTCTGCTAAGATTAGGAGGTGAGGCAGCTTGATTCGCTCGGATCCTGGTGAAGAGATCCTGGCTCTCGTCCAGGTCTTCTCCACATTTGTATCACAGGGTTACTATTTTAAAAATCACGGAAAGAATGACTGACGTGTTCCACTTTCAGCGTGGTGGCATTTGCTCCACTATAGTAGCTCTCTCCTGCTGATTAAAATGCACAACTCCGTCAAGCACAGAAAACAACTACCTGAGGCTTCGGAAAAGTAAAGAAACAAATCGTGGTAGAGAGCCAAAACTTGGAGTAAAAGCAGCAGGGGGTGGATCGCCCCCTTCTTTTCCTGGCAGCGTTGTCCTGAGGGTGAGAGTCGGTCAAGGAGCTGGAAAGGTGGCGCACAGTGCGACACTGATGTGGATGCCCCTCTTGCCCCATCTCGCCCCATCTTGCTGGTCAGAGGAACCAGGCGAGGGAGCCCCCGTGACTGGAGAATAAAGGAAGAAAGCTGGAGCAGAGAGCACCACAGAATTCTCTGGCTTCGTTCTAAGTGACTCATGTGTGGGACCGACCAACACAGACCTGAGCTGGGAGGTGAACCCCCGCTCCCGGAAGGGGGGACAGAATTTGCAGTCTGAACCCGAATGGGCTGACTGCCTGCTAAACCATAAACATCAGTACTCTTCTGAGTCTACACAGCGTTACATTCCTGAGGACCAAAACTACTCAGTATGCAAAGAAAACGTGACCAGTGTTTTTCAGTTCTTTAAAATATGCAGGACGGGGTGCCTGGGTGGCTCAGTTGGTTAAGCGTCTGCCTTTGGCCCAGGTCATGATCCTGGGGTCCCGGGATCGAGCCCCGCATCGGGCTCCCTGCTCAGCAAGGAGTCTGCTCCTCCCTCTGCCCTGCTTGTGCTCTCTCTCTCACTTACTCTCTCTCAAATAAATACATACATACATACATACATAAATGATGCAGGACATTTGAAAGTAAAAATTATAACAGTGGTTGGGTTCTCAATTTATGTAAATGTATACATATGATGACTATGGCATAAATATTAGTGGCGTGGGTGTGGTAAAGGGACTTACATGGTAGCAAGACTCCCGACATTTTAATTGATTATTGAAAAATATACACAGCTTAGGGTGCTTCAATTTTACCTCATAAAGTTGGAAGATGGGAAAAGAACAAAATGACAATAAAAACCATATATGAAAGAACTTTAAAAACTCATATCACATAAGTGTGAGGAATTATTCTTTACTATTACTAATATTACTAATGCTGCCATGTCATGCCTATAAGAGAAGAATGGTGAAGCTGACCTCTCCAGTCACGGGTCATTTATATCCTGTTTTTGAACATATTTGTGTCTGGCTTATGTTTTTTGAATGCATCAACAGTAAAGCAATGCATGCAAAATGGCAAGATGAATTTCATCACAAAAGTTCCTGCTTGGAACATGTGTGGGAGAACACGGTTCTCTCTCCTGCTGGGAGTAGGCCTTTTTATAAAAGCCTGTAAAAAAAAAAAAAAAGGCTGAAATGACTAAGGAAACATAAACTTATGGTTTATTTATTTTTTTTTTAAAGATTTGCCCATTTATTTGAGAGAGGGAAAGCACACATGAGCCTGAGTGGGAGGGGGAGAGGGAGAGAGACTCAAGCAGACTTCGCTGCTGAGCTCGGAGCCTGACATGGGGCTCAATCCCACTCCTGTGAGGTCACGACCTGAGCTGAAACCAAGAATCAGAGGCTCAACCAACTGCACCACCTGGGCACCTGCATAAAATGTTATTTTATAAACCTTGGAATGAGGAGAAATTTATGGAATAACTTGGCTTTGTTCAAATCCATCATAATGCTTCCGTAATTTATCCATAATTATGTACACATTTGGTAGATTTAACTTTCCTATCATAGGAACATCTGAGTTGCCACTCTGGTGGAAAGATACTAGGAACAAATGAAGCAGATTTACTACAAACTATAGTCAATAATAATGGATGCCACTTCCTGGACATCTATGACGCACTAGATACTATGCTAAGTACGCTATTTGCATTATCTCATTTAATCCACACAGTAAGATTGATCTTGTGAGTTAAGTGTTGTCATCCCCAGTCCACAGACGAGAAAACTTGAGTAACTTGCCAAGTCATAGAGCTAATAAATGGTAGAGTGCCTTCAAACACAGCTATGATTGATTCCAGAGAACTAAGCTATGCTGGATATCTCTTCACTGCAGCTGAACCATGATTATAACAAGGTCATAATTTCTTTTTTAAAGACTTCTTGAATCCCAAATTTAATGGTTGAAAGTGATCAAAATAAAAGTACTTTCCAATATTCTGGATATCACACAGGAGTTTGAAAATCAGGATTGGCAACTTTATGAACTTTAACACAACACACAATCTTCTCAAGAAGGCAATTTAGCAATATGTATAAAAGCCTTTAAGTAACAAATGTGGCTTTTGAATCAATAATTTCATTTCTAGGAACGAATCCTGAGGAAATCACCCATGATACATGAAAAAAAGAAAAACACAGATGTTGCTATAAAAGAGCAAAAGTTGAGAAATATGCTAATTGTTTACTAGGAGGAAGCAGCACATTTATATGATGGAATACTATGCAACTAATAAAAATCATGCTGTGTGCCATAAAAAAATACTAGAATGGCTAAAAGTTCATCCTTTAAAGTGAAGGAGACAGGGGAACCTGGGTGGCTCAGTTGGTTAAGTGTCTGACTCTTGATTTCGGCTCAGGCTGTGATCTCAGGGTGCTGGGATCAGGCCCTGCATTGGGCTCCATGCTTGGCATGGAGTCTGCTTGAGATTCTCTCCCTCTGCCCCTCCCCCTGCTCACACATGCTCTCCCTAAATAAATAAAAACTTAAAAAAAAAAAGTGGAAAAAGACAAGCTACCAGAGTTTAATACACCATTTTTTTTTTTTTGGTTTGTTTTATAAAACTTAAACACATGCACAAAACATAGTGGATGGACATACCAAAAAATTCACAATGGTCCTCTATGTGGCTTTACTGTATTTTTCTAAGTCTATTTATGTTACACAGACCATTTAATGCCTTCAGTAACTTAAAAGAGCACAGTAACAATGCAAAAATGGTACTGAGGAGAAAATATACATTTTAATGGAAATACAATACAAATCAGAAAAACAGCAAAATTATTGACCTACCCTGATGATCTCAACGGTCCTTGGTCCCATATCTGTGCCTATAAATAAGGAAGCAACACAATTAACTTTTTAAAATAAAGAGATAACACAGTTAGGATTTAATATTCTCCTATAAAAATTTAAAAAAATAGTATAATTTTCTAGCTCTTTCGAGAGAGAATACAAACAGGTATTACATACTTTCTCAAAATCCCAACTGGCAACTATTGGTTAGGAGCTATTTTATTTTTTATTTTTTTAATTTTTTTTTTTTAACAATGAAGAGAACTTTAAAAAAAATTATTAACATATAATGTATTATTTGTTTCAGGGGTAGAGGTCTGTGATTCATCAGTCTTACACAATTCAGAGCTCATCATAGCACATACCCTCCCCAATGTCCATCACCCAGCCACTCCATCCCTCCCACCCCGCCTCCACTCCAGCAACCCACAGTTTGTTTCCTGAGATTAAGAGTCTCTTATGGTTTGTCTCCCTCTCTGGTTTCATCTTGTTCCATTTTTCCCTCCCTTCCCCTATGATTTTCTGTCTTGTTTCTCAAATTCCACGTATCAGTGAGATCATATGATAATTGTCTGTCTCTGATTGACTTATTTCGCTTAGCATAATACCCTCTAGTTCCATGCATGTCGTTGCAAATGGCAAGATTTCGTTTTTTGATGGCTGCATAATATTCCATTGTGTGTGTGTGTGTGTGTGTGTGTGTGTTTGTACACACCACATTTTCTTTATTCATTCATCTGTTGGACATCTAGGCTCTTTCCATAGTTTGGCTATTGTGGACATTGCTGCTATAAACATTGGGGTGCATGTGCTGGTTAGGGGCTATTTTAAAGAGGCCCTCTCTTGAGGTAGATGTGGTCATAACCACGTGGTCTGACAGAAGCTGATGGCAGTACCAGCAGCTACCCAGGATATCACCATATACCCTAAGTGGCTCGGGGGATGGGCTATTTGTGTATCATTGTACATTTTCCTGCCCTAATCGAAGACAACCCTCTCCTCAAGGAAAGACTTAAAAGGACCTGCCCCACCCACAATGGTATATGCACTTTTGACTTTCCTTAAGTGACCTGTCATTTGAAATTTTTCTCTTTGGGAAATGGTTTTCTTTTATGAAGTAGTTTAGATTTCCACTTTCCTGTTTTTCATGTGATTTGTGTACAGTTAACGACACATTCCCAAAATGAGTCCCTATGGCTTTCGTTCCTTTAGAACAGGCTTTTCATCAAGCTTGGGGCTTAGGCTCACACGTTCGAAGATTTCGACGTGTCTGAGTTGAGGGTGAAGAGATTGTTTTTAAAAAATATTAATACTTTAAAAATTGGGTCACAGGATGGTGTTGCTGGTGGTGCATCCAAGTCATACCTGAACTTTTGGGGGAAGGATCTGTAGCTCTTTTTGTGCCAACCAGGTTTTGCAGGCTGGTGATGACAGGAGCCAGGGAGGGATGGAAGTTGCTGTGCGCGCTGTGCTGGCTTCCCTGGAAAGAAAGCCTGCCATCAGCTGCGCTCAGACACAAACTTGGTCTTAAAACTTCAGACTTAGTATTTTAATTACTGACATAGCCATAACCATGTGATAGAAAATTCTGTAGAGGCTAAAAGAGAAAACAGAAGTGACCCCTACTCACACCCTTACCACTCTAACCCAATACCATTTGACATTTTTCTTTTTTTTAATATATGTATTTTTTTCATTTTATTTATTTATTTGTCAGAGAGCGAGCGAGCACAAGCAGGGGAGCGGCAGGCAGAGCAGATAGAGGGAGAAACAGGCTCCCCGCTGAGCAGGGAGCCCGATGTGGGGCTCGATCCCAGGACCCTGGGATCATGACCTAGCCGAAGGCATCCCATCATTTGACATTTTTCTATCGCCTTCCCCTTTATATGAGCTTTATATATATATAGTTTCAATCATCAAGATAGAAAACATGCAATAATTTAAGCTTTTCTTGCTCCCCATGAAATCGAAAAACATTTTCCTAGGTTGTTACATAGTGTTTATATGTGATCAGTTAATGGCATATGAGTCAGTGGGGGTTACAGCCAACATTTATTACCTTATTACTCAAATGATCATTTTGCTAAAACAACTATCATAAAATCCTAGCTAACAGAAACTTTCTCCTCAGTTATAGGAGAAAGCAGCAAATATCAAGGGAATATATTGTTTTAGGAATGGGTTAAATTTTTTTTCTCCAAGATTTTCCTGGAGTCAGTGGTAATGGAGCCCAATCTACTTCCATTATGTCCTTTTATTCATTCAAATAAATATTTGAGGTCTACATTGTATAGTCATGTATGGCTAGTAGCTATTCGATGAGAATCATATACACAGTGGAGGACCTTTCCAATGCAGAAAATAATGTAACCCCCCCCACCCAAAAAGTAACCAATAATGAATAAAGAATGTCTTCTACTAAATTATCAAGGTTATACCTAATTGCCTCAAAATTTTAAGCTAAACCGGGCGCCTGGGTGGCTCAGTCGTTAAGTGTCTGCCTTCGGCTCAGGTCATGATCCCAGGATCCTGGGATCGAGTCCCACATCGGGCTCCCTGCTCAGCGGGAAGCCGGCTTCTCCCTCCCCCACTCCCCCTGCTTATGTTCCCTCTCTCGCTGTGTCTCTCTCTGTCAAATAAATAAATAAAATCTTTAAAAAAAAAAAATTTTTAAGCTAAACCTAAGATCACAATTATAATCTGATAAATTATAATTTGACCCATTTCCTTAGTTCTATGATGCAAGTTGTTTAATATTTTAATTCCTTAAATATGAAAACATTCAAATGTACAGAAAAGGTGAATTATATAGTAGACACTCATATGCATGCCACTTAGATTCCACAATCAATATTTTGCTGGATTTTCTTTCTCACATACCCATTCATCTGTTCATCAATGTTTAAAAATTCATTTCAAAGTAAGTGACAGACATCATATACTTCACAACGGATATATATATTTAAAGGAGTGTTTTCTATATTTTTCCTGAAAGGATATGATTTAAATCAATAGTGCTATAATAATATTCAGAATTGAGGGAGTATAGCATATTATAACTTTTGCCTAAAAAAATCTTAGAACAATGTGTTTGCCACGGCCTTTATAAATATGAACTGTGCCTGGAAGTGTTCCCTCAGTTATCTGAGGAAAAGATTTCTCAAGTGCTTTTCCATGACACACCGTCCTTTGAAGGGTAAAGGCACTCTTTTCTCGTTGGTGAAAAGACTTTTTAAAAAAAGAGGCTTGGTGGCCCCAAGAATAGATCTATCTTAGTGAACCCACTTTCCCTAGGCCAAGTCTAACAAATTATAATTCTCCTTGGCCCTCGGAAGAAGACATTTATCTCCTCATCTTATAACTGCCCAGAAAGAAATCTGTGCCCCTAGAGGGTCTGAAGGTGGAAATGTCTGGGAATGGGATTTTCTTTTTCTCCAGTTGGGTCATGGGCTGGTCTTCAGCTTGTGATATGGAGGACATTTCCTTTTCACAGCCAGCTATGAGCCTTCTTTTAATTAGCCAAGTATCACTGCAGACTCTCGTTATCATCTCAGCCAAAATTTTAAGGACAAAGTAAGGATAAAACATATTTACTGTTTTCCTTAAAATTGAATTAAACTTCTACCCCCTAAGGTTAAAAATTCTGTGCAGGAAGGTTAGATAAAAGTGTCTGATACTTTGTTTTAGGTTTCTAAAATAGGACAGCTCACATTTACAGATGAGCTAAATGGTGATGGTAGTTTTATTGATATTTAATAATCGAGCTTCTAAATTTGTTAGCTCTGTATTTAACCTAAGTGTGAACTTTATTAATCACAAAGATGTTCTTATACATGTTCTTCAATGACAAAAATCTAGGTCTACCTACTACCTCATCCTTCAGTTCAAACTTTTCTTTTTTTTAAATTTTGTTTTATCATGTTATGTTAATCACCATACATTACATCATCAGTTTTTGATGTAGTGTTCCATGATTCATTGTTTGCGTATAACTCAAACTTTTCTTAAAACATTGGAATTCTTTGTATCCCTTTGTGCTTTTGCATATGCTATTCCATCTATCTGGGATGCCTTCTCCCTCTTTTCAACCTATCAAACTCCTTTTGCAGTGAGATCCGATGGAGTCTCCTCTGTGGCATCCTCCCATATTCTGCAAGGAAGAAAAATTTTATCCCCAGTATTGTTCAGTCTGAATTCTAACCTGCATACAACAAGGCTTTAGTGAAATCACTCAACAAGTGAATCTTCCACTAAGGAAGAAGCTCTGAGACAACTATTTTTGCATCTGAAATTCCCACTGTTGATACAAGTCTGCTCAGAATCATTATCAACCATTTGCTCCTGGAGTCCCCCTTCAGCACCGTGTCTTAGTACACATGATATTTGCTGCTCATTGCGTAGGCCAGAAATGAAAAGAGAAAATATATTCTAAAACTTAACATGATGTTTATTGGGTTTCACTGTTTTGAAGATTCTCTAAGATAGCTAGTCTGCGATCCTAGCTGAACAATGGTATTTTTCTTTACCCATTTTCTAATACCAGTGAAGCAAAGGAGGCAGTTCATAGCATCCCAGAAGCACCTGTGTGCTAACCACAAACTCAGAACAACTTGTGAACAAAAGCCTTGGAGAGGCTTTAAGTCTAAGGCAACTAGCGAGGGGACCAAAACTCATGCTTTTAACCTCAAGACAAAGGCCCATAAATAACCCACAAAGGAGATGGAGGTCACATGTTAAGTTTCTACAGCTTCATTATGTACCAAATGGGACAAACATATAGTCTACCATCTTGATTTTGTCAGCATTATCATAAAAACAAAACAAAAAACCCAAACTTTGAAATATACTTTGTTAAAAATAAAAGTGGCACTTACATCAGCCTTGCAAATAAACATAAGATGTTTGCTAACCTACAAAGTATCACCCATTAAGGCCTCCCTCTCAGAGGAGAACCCTCCACACTTGGCTCTCTTAGGAATATGCCATTAATTGCCCTCAGCATGTGTGAGTGGCTATTCACAAGTTAACTTTATAGCAATATTTAATTGAATGAATAGAACAATGTTGTGCTAATGAGGGTCAAATTGCCACCAGATGTTGCTTCTTTCTTTTTTTTTAAATAAACACAGCTGTGTACATGCATGCATAGGCAATACAGAGCTACTAGTGGACGAGAAAAGTGGTTCTAAGGAAATACTGGCAGGCAATAAAGGAGAGAAAAATCTAGGGATTAATGAATATTAACGAATTTCCATCCCACCTTTCATTTTTATTTCAAACATATTAAAATGCACTGAACATGGTGTTGTGAATATGCTGTCTAGTACACATTATTCCAATCATTTATGAAATGGGGAGCTTTCTCCCAGTGGGGATGGGTGAGTGAGTCAGTCTGATGGGAAGCCAGCAACAACCTGACTATTCTGTGAGGTCTTCCTTGAGGAGGTCCAGGAACCAGCTCGGAGTCTTCCAATCTCTAGCTGCACCAGCCCCTGTGCACACTTGGGAAGACAAGAAAAGAGGTGAAAAACAGCATTTAACTTCTAAATTATCATGGCAGAGCTTCCCCTCATCTCCGCACCAAGAATTGTAAACGGGTGATGAAAACAAGAGGGACAAGGAAAATTCAGTAATCAAAAAAAAAAAAAAAAATCACACAAAATAACAAAAATTCATCAACTCCATGGTATTCATCTCATGACTTCATGACTTCTTTAAACATGGTAAAAGTATTACATTTCAATTCACCTCTTCCTTTTCCCTTCCGATTAAAGTATTCATGAGCAGTGAAATAATTAAGAAAAAGTGGTGAATGGGGGACAGAAAAATCAAACATAGAGATAATCTACAAATAACAAATTCTCTCATAAGTCATAACTGACTATACTAGGAAATCAGAATTTTAAAATAAACGAGGTTCATTTGTCTTTGCAAAAGCTTCCACAGCTATTTGTGAAACTGTGTAAGATGCAGCTGATTATAGTCGAATGGAAATTTACAAGAATTTTTATTAATCAGTTTCCCCCAAGGAAGGTAGCATCCATGTGGTAGAGACACTTGGAAGGGAATTCTGAACGTAGCCTCTCTACAACTTCAGTGAGAAACGGCTTGGGTGGTGGGAAAACCACTCAAGTAGATCCTTTTCATCTTGGACATGCTGCTTTACTTTTTCAAACTTCATTTGTGAAATAGAGGAATTGGTCTAGATAATCTTCAATGGTCCCTCACGCAATAAAAGCTGGATTTGGTAAATTCATGACAATACAGCTTTAGAGAAAAGGATGAATTTTTTGATTCCAGGAGAACTTATCCCATCTAATGCATTCAGAGAGTAACTGTGGGTACTTGGTTTCTCACAAGGATAAAAACTAGCTTGGGAAGTCCCCAAAGAGGTTTCTCTATCAATCCTGATCCTGATAGTAAATCTAGCAGCTTTCTTGTAAAGCTATATATGATGGGTTAAAATAATGCGAGATTAGCTCTCTAGTGAAAACTAGAGTTAGCATAAAGTCGAACCCATTTATAACCAAGCTCGATTAGAATGGCTCCCTGTGGACTTCAGGCAGACAGCAGCCTGAGGACTCACCTTGAGGATAGTGGCCACTGTCTCTTGTGAAGCATTTCTCATGTCCTCCCCATTCACAGATAAGATCTGATCTCCCTGAATCAATCTCCTATCAAGGTCTGCAGCTCCACCTTTCACGATGTCAGAAATAAACACTCCACTTCCATTTCTGTGAATACCACAAAGCAGCGGGTAATGGCACAATTTAGTATTTCTGAGTAAATCTGAGATTATTGACATTCTATACAGTTTCACTAAATCCTGAAGCTTAAATTAGAGTTCCTACAAAGCCATCTCATCCAATAATACCCACTAACTTCCAAAATGATAAACTTCAGAGTGCTTGCCCTTTAAATAGTTTAGACCTATTTATGTTGCCTACTGTAATATTCATTTTTATTGGCCTAAGGGCATCATTTCTGCAAGAGGACAACCTTAGTGAAATGACATGGATCACTTGTTTTTTAAGGTGGTATACTAATCTACAGATGTTCCTTAATTTCATGATGAGTAAACTGTTAATAAAAAATATACAGGTTATTGTCATTCACTAGCTATTGCAAACAATGTGCAATGGATACCATATCTACAAGCATACCATTAGAATATTCTAGTTGTGGAATTGCTAAGTCAAAGAATTATGAATCGTGACAGCTTATACACCTGACCCTTCACAATGGAACTTTCTGGGCTAAGGGACGTGAATGTTCCTTACAACTCAATCTGAAATACTAGTGTTGTATGAAGACTGTTTTATCAATCCGGTAGGAAACCATAAAGAAAAAACCATTCCTCTAAGTGGAATCTCCCCAGGCATATGTATGTGTCACAACCAGCAAGGAAATTTCAACTTGGGCTCTGTCAGGTGCGCTGCACCCAAGTGTGCATTGAGTTTGTTTAGAAATAGGAGTCCCAGCTTTTGTGATTTATAATGCATTTTCACGGTGATGATATAATGGTGCTGAAGGATGAGATCATGACAGCACAGTACTTGGCACAAAATCCATGCTCTCAAAAACTGTCTCCAATATTTTATTTTAATAACAGTTTGGACAGCTGGAAAAAAGCAGTAGGCTAGCCATCAGAGGTCTGTGAGGGCACAGGACATAACATATAAAAAAATCAACTTCACTTCTTCCTAAGAAGATGGTTGATAACCATTTAGGACCGTACTGGGGTGTCACCTGGAAACCTTGCAGCCCTGTTGGAATAAATACACACTAAATATTGAAAACCAGTAAACCATGGGAGCTGGAATTGCAGTTTCAAGATACTACTTACTTTTCTAATCTACTACTGTTATTCTATAATGCCCATCATATGGGTAAGCAGCATAGACTTCAAAAGAAAAGCCTAGCCAAAAGGATCTACCTACATTTTGTTGCAAGTTATTCTTTTGGGGACATCTTTCTTAATGAAAACTACTGTCATGAAAAATTTGCAATTGTCGCTCAACTACATCTACTCAGCTAAGTTTTGAAACTCACCAACTAGTTGTAGTTAACATAAGCATGAGATTTGGTACTCCGTGGCAGAGCAATTTTCTTTTTTTTTGTTTTTACAAAATTTTATTTATTTATTTGAGAGAGAGAGACATACCGAGAGAGGGAACACAAGCAGGGGGAGTGGGGGTGGGAGAAGCAGGCTTCCTGCTGAGCGGGGAGCCCGATGCGGGGCTCGATCCCAGGACCCTGAGATCATGACCTGAGCCGAAGGCAGACGCTTAATGACTGAGCCACCGAGGGGCCCCGGCAGAGCAATTTTCTTAACTCAACGCTGTATAAACCTAGCTCTTGACATTAGCTGTTTAATTCACCCCTGCAAGCCTCAGATCTCAGGGACTCCAAGGTGAAAAAACCTTTTCGACTCTGTTCTTATTCTATATGGGAACAAATACAGTCTGGGTTGATTGGGCTTTGAGTTCTATCTTCATACAACACTTTTTCTTGGTTAAGATCTTGCTCAGAAACATGATATAGGTCACTCTAATATTTATAAATAGTTTAATTTTAGAAACCATATCATTAGTTTACACAAGACCTTATCTGCTGGTGTTCATAGGCTCCTTAGGGCTCTGGAGGGACAGGCCAATCTGTCCTAACTTGTGTGTATTTCCTTACCGCTTCCCAACGATGCTCAGACCCAGTCCTCGGCCAGCCTTTTTTTGCAGATCCACCGGGAAAACCTCCAAGTTCTCCTCATCTCTGTAGTGTGCCTCATCTCTATACACGACCAGTCGCACCTTCTGGGGGGTCTGCCTCAGGGCTGTGATGGCTTCTTCGTGGCTGGCGCTCCTCAGGTCAATCCCATTAACCTGGAACATCGGGCATCCGAGATGGGCTGCTGACAGCAGAGGCCTCTAAGCCTGCTCTGTCTGCTGAGCTCCTTAATCCAACCAGTGAAAAAAACCTCTAGAAATTTCCAGCCATTCCTGAGGCACACAGGCAGTGACTACTAGTAGTAGTAACTGCTTCATGTATAAGGGAGGTTAACCCTTATACTACCCCCAACCCCCAAAAAGCTTAGTACACACAATAATGCATTTTTGCATAGCTGTGAACTTTACTATGGGATCAACATGGTTGGGGAGGGAAGGCGAGAGGGAGCAGGAGGGGTAGAAGGGGCTGACTGGCTTCATTTAACTGAGGTCAAAAGGGAAATGAACACTAGTGTTTGGTCAGCATTTTTAGACTCAGTCTGCTTACTGAATTTGACATCCTCACTCTTAATTGCAAACATCACAACTACTTTAGAGTAAGTGGGAAGGAAATGAGAGGTTTTCAACTGTGTCAAAAACCCCTTGAAGTACACTCTTCTGAACCTGGATCCAAGTGAGCACAAATAGGACCATGAGTGAGAGGCAAACTACACTGGAAACAGCAGTGAGTAAAGCCATGGCTCTGCTTCTGGCAAATCATGTGAATTTGGACAAGCCGCATAACCTCTTCTCAGCCTCCTTTTCCTCATCTGCTAAACGGAGATCAGAGCCAACTTATTATTTTTTTTAACTTAACAAATGTTTGTGTAATGCTTGTGAATCAACCCTTTATAAATATTTACTCATTTAATCCTTATACTAACTCTCTGAAATAGGTCCCATTACCATTTTACAGACGAGGAAAGTAAGCCATGGAGAGGCTAAGAGACTTGACCAAGGTTACACAGCGAGCCCATGGAGGGCGAGCCCATGGAGGAGTCACAGTTTGAACTCAGACTGTCTTCCCACCCTCAGTCTCTATACCATTCTGCCTCAACTTCCTCTCAGAATGAGTTCCTGGAGCCCCCTGCCACAGAGAGAGTCAAGTAGTGCTGTGGATTAGTGGATTTAACACAAGGGAGAAATTGAGGAACAGAATGGCAGAGGACTCAAAGGAAGGGAGTCATGGGTCACTCCCTCAAGGTCACAGCTAGGAAACAAGCCAAAGGGAAGAATAGGCCCAGGTCATGGCCAGGGGGGATGACGGAATGGAAGAGTTCCCTCACGATGCCGGTTCTACTCCATGTTCTAGTCCATCCCTGTGTGTTCTGGGTAGGTCAGGCTTATCTCTGGTCCTCCATTCCTTCATCTGTCCTGTGAGGGACTGGTCTCAGGTTTCCCCAATTCTAACATTCCAAAGATGAATGACTCATGGCATGAAGAGTAGTTAGAAGGGAGAAGAGAGCAATGAGTCCTTCCTTGAGAAGGTGAGTTTTGAGCTATTATTATTATTATTTTTAAAGATTTTATTCATTTATTTGACAGAGAGAGACACAGTGAGAGAGGGAACACAAGCAGGGAGAAAGGGAGAAGCAGGCTTCCCGCTGAGCTGGGAGCCTGATGTGGGGCTCGATCCCAGGACC